GGAAAACGTTCAGAAATCGGTGGAAGATCTTCTTAGAAGATTTGAGTCTCATCCTCACGTTGCCGATTCACGCTTAACTGTTTCTTGGCTGAAATATTACAAAGAATTTCAGAAAAATCCAGTTGCAAAATACGCATTGAAAGGTTACAATATGTCAAACAAATATGATTTCATGGAAGGACTTCGAGTTTTCCTGCGATTTAAATTAGCCGAGCAATTCTCAAACGATTTGGTATTCAGTCCGGATGGATCCGAGATTATTTTCAGTCGATTTCTTGTTACTACGAAAAATATACGTAACAGAGAAATTGAGATTGAAACTACAAAGGATTTTATGAAGATTGCAGATGAAGCACCATTTCCAGTTCTTATTTATAACTTATTACAAACTATGATAGAACAAGGGCTAATCATCGACGGCTTAGCTAAACAACTGTTTTGGATGACTGGGTTATTGATCGCTATTGTTTTTTTCAGTGTGATTCCGAACATCNTATGAAGATTGCAGATGAAGCACCATTTCCAGTTTTTATTTATAACTTATTACAAACTATGATAGAACAAGGGCTAATCATCGACGGCTTAGCTAAACAACTGTTTTGGATGACTGGGTTATTGATCGCTATTGTTTTTTTCAGTGTGATTCCGAACATCATCTGTTCTCTTTTACTGGCAGTTTCTGTTGTTTCTACTACGATAGAAACATTGGGTTACATGAGCTTGTGGGGAATTAACTTAGATATATTATCTTTTATAAGTTTGATTCTGTGCGTCGGATTTTGCCTTAATTATCCGGCTCATATTGCGTATGCTTTTGTGACGTCAAATTGCAAAACGTCGAAGGATAGGATAAAGGATTCGTTGTATCATGTTGGCTTTCCTATAATTCAGGGAACTTTGTCGACTATTATAGGAATATTTTCATATATAAAGAATCGTACGGAATCCTTACATTTCTGAAAGTTGTGTGTTTAATCACAATGGAAACTGCTTTTCACGCTTTATTTTTTACTCCAGTTGTTCTTTCGTTGTTACATTCTCGCCCTTGTTTCAAACAAAAGTCACATTTAACAGAAGTAACAGAGAGATTTGTTGAACTAAATATGGATCAGTAATGTCTGATGACTAACTTCTACTGTATTAAATCATTCTGGTTATATTGTTTAGTTAGTGCAGACAAGAACTGATATTATATATATATATTTACATTGTGTTATCCAATATTTGCTATTGTCTATTTATAGTCGTTAATTAAAGTAAAATTATTATATTGAGGGGTCATGTATTGATTGGTTTGTAGTTATTCGAAGCTCGTATCTATTCAATGGTTACTGTTCTTTATATTAATTATGAAAAAAATGAATAAATCGATATAATTTTTTTTCATTTATTGTTTCAGATTCGATTAAAAGAAACTTTTAGGTTATTTATAGTCAAACGTCGTTGTTTAATTTGCGATATATTTAACCTGGATTGTCGCGACTTTAAAAATGTCAAATATACAAAATATCATTTAAAGAAATTACAAAATTTAATAAAAATATTAGATTTATTTTATAAATCTGAAAAACGATACGGCAGAAAATTTATCATTTCTTCTTTCATTCCCGTGAATCAGGAGGAAGTGAAAGTTTCTGCAAAATTCAACGTTTGTAAGATAATGATTGCGTCGAAAACAAACCCGATTGGCCGTCATATTTCCTATAAAAGGTAGGAGTCACCTTTATTCAAGGCTCATAGACTTATATCCATCCTGTCCTGCTGATGGACAGCTTGCTCTGTTTCTAGTTCAGTGGTTACTAGCCGCTAGAGATAGCACCTCATATCAGAATATATGTAACGCCATAAGAAAAGGGGACTAGGAAACAGTTAACTAAATAAGAAGTCGCGCCATGTTGTAAATGTAATTCAGCGAAGTATTTAGCCGCTATATCTAAATTAGTTACGTTTTGAGTGTAATATGTATAGCCTACGCATTTATGTTTCCCGTATATTAATCCAGATTTGCTGTAAATAAATATCTATCTTTCTTTATTAGTGGATTTGTCTTCATTCCATTTTGCGCGCGAACACGTCCCCTCTGCAACTCGACAATGTAACAACACGACGCTTCGCACAAATTCTTATTACTTGAATTAGTCACTGAAATTAAGGCTCAACAATGGCCAAGAGGTCTTCGTTCCCTGAACACTGGAAGTTCGGTCGTGGGTTCGCTCATTGCTCGGGTGGTCTGGCCACGGGCTGGCAACGTGGAGTTTACCATGTTTTCTCCGCGTCTATAACGTCTAAATAGAAGCCAGTTTCCCTTAAAAAGATCTCCCTAAAAGTATTGCTTTGGCAGATTGCCCAAGTGTTGCGTTGCCATAACTAAAGAAACAAACACTCGGATTAGAGATAAAACAATCGTATAATTCGCGAGTTAGGATGCGACCGTTATTTATCCTAACTGATGTCAGGCCTAATGTAGACTGAGATCTCACGATCTTTAGTCTTCCTTAACTTTAGGTAAAAATTTCATTGCCATCCTCGATAGTGGGCAGAGTCTTACAGACCCGGATCTCACATAATGGTGTATTCCTCTTGCAGCAATTATAGTATCAACCACATTCAACGACAAAAGTTTTAATTCTTGTTTAGTTTGTTTAATTCTTGAATTATAATAAAGAAATTGTGAACTGCGTTATGGATAACGCAGTTCACAATCCCTCTATTATAATTCCATCTAATAGATGTAGCTGAAGGAAACGTATTTTGACTTCTAGGTCTAAGGCATGAGAAATTTTAGAAGATTTAGAGAAAAAAACTTAAGAGAAACTTGTAGAATGTAAAAAATTATTTTACATTCTTTTATATATCCAACAGATTGGGAGACAATTAGATTAAATCTGTGAGCGTAACAGATTACCAAAACAGCATGTTGAACTTGGGCACCATTATGTTGCCCGGCCATTACGGCAGCACCGTTGTTTGTTTGTCCCACTAATTTTTTATTGCATCGAAATTCGTTTAAGTAACTCTTAATGTAAGTAAATAACCAATTTGCGTCTATATTCTCACTCACATCAGTAAAGCCTACAAAATCTTTCTTCAACGTTACCGATTTCTTTCGTGTAAGAAAATACAGTCGACGTCTGAGGTCTCTGGCCGATGTCAATTGTTTCACTTGCAATTATAGCATCAAATTTTCCAGTTTTAACTTCCCTTTTAATTTCTTGCAATAAAGCATTTTCTAACGATTTAACAAGATCATTTTGAATTCTGCTCGATAAGCCACCAAAAACACCAAAACCGTAGAATTTTCTAAATGTATTTTTAATTGATTATTTGACGTACTTATTAAGTAAACAAGTTCAATATACAGTAGAGCGTCGTTTATCCAAATCAATTGGGGACTAGGGTTGTTCGAATAACTCATTTTCGGATAACCGATTATATACGAAAAATATATTAACATATCCCACGTTGAAATTTTTTTCCGTTGCGTGTCGCTTCGCGTTGAATTTTCGTCGATAATAAGCCAAACGTAAACTTTTTAAAATAATAATCGTGGCTATTGTATCGCTAAAAATTATTTTTTTATTTTGTACAAACAAAATAAATTTATTGCAAAATATAAAAACAAAAAAATATATACTTTAGAAGTTGATCTAGTATAAAAAACGTTTGATTCGGCACAACACATAGTCCTCAGAAAAACACCACACAAAAATGCCAGTGCTGCCAGCTGAAACACACACACCAACAAAAAAATATTGGAATAGCCCAAGATATAGCCAAAGATTGCAGCGCCACAGCACTAGCGAAAATTTAAATTTGCCGACTGGAATGCTTTCGGATAACCGACTTTCGGATAAACGACGTTTTACTGTAATTATCTCTGTTATTAGATTTAATAGTTTTCCTATGTTATGTTAATGCCACTTTTTGTTTTGATGAAAAGAAAAAAACATATAACATCTATTATACGATATTTCGGTGCGTAGCATTCACTAGCTAAACCGCTAGAAGTTGTTGCTCTGTAGAGCGCATACACGAATGAGTATAATATGGCTGCTTTGCACGATTGAAGTATTTTCCCCTTGAAAGTTATCCTCTATTTGATATTGGAAATGTGCATATATGAATTTATATTTAAATATAGAATAGTAATCTTATCATTGCGTATAGAAATTTGTAATAAAATATTAATTTTAACAAATTCAAAGTACGTTAATTTAAAATATATTAATAATTGAACAATACGTATTTTTATTTTAGAAAATACAAGAGAATCGGAACTTTCACGGCTTTAATGGACAGCACGCTAGTGAAAAAAATACTACAAACACATTTCCAACTTTTAGTACAAACTTTTACGCATTATTTTTGATTTTTGTGTAAAAAATTTCACAGTATTCGATACCCGTGAAGTTTTAATGATTTATATATATTCACGTAGGAATATCCTACAAATAATGGTAATTTTACGAATAATATTGTGACAAAGTAAATATAAGGCAAGAAAGTAGGAGATGCGATTAAATTAAGCTTTAAAAAAGTTTAAATTGAGCTATAACTTTTATTTATAGTGTGGGCGAATAAAAGTTTCGATAGGAAAATACGAGAATCTGTAGACAACTGAATGCCACAAAGGACTTTCATAAAAACTTATTTGGGGTTCTAACTTGAAGGCCTTCTAACGTTCACATATGATCACATATTTGTACGACATAAATGAGGACCTTCATGCTTTTTGAGGAAAACTGTTTTATACTGGCCGATGAAATTAGTTTTTAAACATGTACAGTACGTTCTACCCACGATTTTCTGCTATTCATAATTTATATTGAAATAAGAACACAACTATTCTTTCTATTCGCGTACATTTTTGGGGTGTGTGTGATGACATAAAGGATTAATTACATATTTAAAATATATTTTTACTAAAATATTTTTTTATTTAATAATTAGTTTTTACATTAGTTTTGTAACTAAATCACTTTAAAATATTTATTCACCCTTAATAACACAAATAAAACTAAAGAATCTTTCATATACAACACTGTTTTAGTTATTGAATAAAACACAACATTTCCAAAATTATAATATATTTGATACATTTTAAACGGTGAAATTGTATTTGATGTACCATTAATTACAATAATACTAAATAAAAACAGTTGTAAAAATACGCGGTATAACCACTTCATCCTACTATGACGATAATAGTTCATGTAATATGTCACAATGCATAAAAGATATATTCTGTTACATCAGTTTTATTTTCGTTTCCATTTTTTCATCAAAAATGAAATAAATGAGAGCATTACGGGAATAACAAACATAGCATGAAATGCCGTTTGTGCTGTAATTATAGCAATAATGATAACAAAAACTTTATTTATAAAGTAGTCGTAAGATAACACAATTACTAACCCGAAATCGGTCGATAGTGAACCCTGACACACCGGAAATCCCAGGTGAAATAAGCTGTCCTTTAATTTTTCTTTAGTGGTTGTCTTCTCGGATTTAACGAAAGAATAACACATATGAGTGGGATAATTCACAGAAAATCCAATACAAAGTATTAACGTTATCATAGATATGATGTCCAGGTTAATCCCCCACAGTGATATATACCCGATTGTTTGTACGGAAATAGATATAACGGAAACAGCAACGACACTAGCACAAATAAAATTTGGTATAAAACAAATGAAAATTACAAGAGTTAACAATGAAGTTATCCAGATGACTTGAAAAGTTTGTGTTTTGACGATAATTGCCTGTTCGATTAGAGGTGATGCTAACATGTGAACGTTAACTTTAAACGGTGCTTCGTTCGCAATTCTCCACAAATCCTTCATTATATTAACTTCTGTAATTTTATCGGAGACATTTTTGGCTATTAATAAAAAGCGGGTGGAAATAATTTCGGTATTATTGTGATTAAAATATATATCGTTTCGGAATTGTTGAGCACCTTTGAAATTCAGAAAGACATTTTTGAGAGCATCCATAAAGTCTTTTTTCTCAGTCATGTCGTATCCCATCAGAGAATATTTGGAGATCGGATGGTCTTGAAAAATTTTAAAGTATTTTAACCAGAATATATCGAGTTCGGGTCCAGCAATGTTCGGAAGACTGTGAAAATTATGTATGATTTTTTGTACTTTATTTTGTACCCGAGGATCAGAATAATCTAAATTTTCATTAATAACAACGTGCACTGTGTATGGATATTCTGTAAAATAATTGTAGTAAATTCGATAGGCTTGTGTAATTTTGTAATTATTATCATGGAATTTAAAAACGTCGAAGCCTTCGTTTATCACCAAAACCCTCCATATTCCTATTGATAATAATGTTAAGTAAACAACAGTAATGATGGTTTGAGTACGGGATTGAGAAATAAAAGTAGCAAATTTATTTTTGAAAAACGTCATAAGTGAGTCATCTTTGGGTGCTTCGCCGTATCCTTCGTAAATTTTTGAGGATTCTATAAAAGGAAAATAATTATTTATAGCCATTAAAATTAATGTATAATTAATGCTCAAATTCAAAATTATTTTATTGTTTTTAAAATTTTTATGGAACTTTTTCTTACCCAAAACTGGCCTACATGTAAACGAGTGAAGACCTTTCTCTTCTCTGTATCCGCTCAACGCCAAACATCCACCGAAGAAACATAACTGAAACAAATAGTTGAAGAACACGCATACCGCAGCATACAGAAAAAACGTTCTTACTCCAGGAAAAGGCGAAGTCATGCCAATGCAGTAAGTAGAGAATTTCATGAGACTGGTTGTAGTAATCGACACAGCTGCGTTCGAGTAAGTCTTTTCCATCCGTTTTACTACGCTGTCATAGGGACTCGTCTGTCTCCAGAATGAAACTATCACGAAAGCATTATCTACTTCTGTCGCTGAAATGAAGAAAACATTAAAGGAATTACATAAAAGTTACAAAAAACGTACGGCTTTTGCATTACCTAATATAATATAAGGAATTCCAAAGTTGAAGCTAACATTTTCCACCCCGCAAGCACAAAGAAAACCAAACGAAGCTGCAGTAGCCATACCAGTTGAAACGACACTAGCCACAGCCATCCAGGGTTTGGATCTCACCCAGCTGTTAGTCATGTACGTTATTACGCAAATAATAATTATTATTAACGCCGACGCATTTATCAAAGGTATCATTTTATCAGAAATTATTTTCATTTCTGACTCGGTAGATTGAAATGGTTCCTGGAGTACTTCAACGAAATCAGAAGAATAAGCTTTCATCCGGTTGTACAGCGCTTCTTTCCATAATGTACTCAATTCTTTCGTTCTAGTATTAAATTCGTCTACCGGATATATCAAGCGAATTGCTTTTGCATCTTTGATATATCTTTTATCATCCGTCTTCACTCCACCCAAATTTATGCAAAGGATTTTATATACAAAAGTCAGAGGATCCAAATGTAACGGATACTTGTGTCGTAATACATTAGATACGTCTGTATTATTGATTAGTGGGATGAGAGGATTTTCGAAACATTTACCATCTACAATTCCGCACACGTCATGATAACGAATAATGTTTCCATTAACCGTAATGGTAACATTTTTTGCAATTTTGTCAATTATTTTGATTTCTTCTAACACGTTCTTATTGAAAATGCTTTCTCCTTTCTTATTTATTAAATAGATGATTGGTGAAAGGGGAGGTTTGGTCATTCTTAGGAAATCATAAAAAGTCGAATAATTCATGGGAAATGTTTTGTCAATAAACTGCATAACATCAAACACTCTTCCTCTGTCCGGAGTTAACAAATAATCGTTGTAATAATTTGTTTTGATATTCATAATTCCTATAGATAGTAGACCACTAAGAAGAAGGGTAGGAAAGATAAAGTAAAACGGATGTGTTCCGATAATTTTTGCGAACTTTCCAATGTTAGTAGTCAGGATTTCACTCAAACGTGTAAACTTTTGCTTTTTTTCCATCTTTCCTGCAAAAAAAAAACGAAATATTAGTTTTTGAGAATAAAATGTGAAAACCCGAGTGATATGTCGTTAAAATTAATATTTTAAAAAATTATTTTATTAAACAAAGTTATTTAACAAAGGCTAGATTGTTAAAAGGAAAAACCTGGCAAAAATTAACGAGTTATCATTTCCTTTCTAACACTTCCTGAAATGTTACCCGTCGCAGGAAGAAGATAAAAATTTGGATTGGTTCCCAACGAAGTTTCCATTCGATTTTCATATTTTCGATAATGTTTTGATCGGAAAACAGGCAAAAAAATATAAAAGGCCAATCAAAGATCTAGAATTGGTCCAGTTCGTGATTGCAGAAAAGTTCCTGTTAGCAGGCCAATTCAGCCATTCATCTGATCGTTCGTCAAATGCCAAGCCGATGCCGATTAAATGTACTTACATTCTCGACTTGTCAAGCTAATCGCCGTATTTGTCTCCATTAGAATTGCGACCATTTTTATAAGGATCTTCAGAAAACTCCGCTTGTCTACGAGGTAAATACTTACTGGCCGTCCAATGTAAACTCTCTCGCAGTTACAACGCCTTAGTTATAAGACAGAAAAGGGATCTGTCATTAACAGAGGTAGTAGTTCGATAATTTATATGATTGCTCTATGACGTATAGTACTTATTATTCTTATGCGTTACAACGTTAAGATGTTATAGACATGTATAAGAATAATTTCTCTTTTTGAATTAATTATAATTTCATTGTGTAACTGTATATAATATATATCTCTGTTAAATAAAACTAATTATATTTAGTATAATTTTGTCGTTGACTGCATCACTTCCGGGTTTTCCCCTTTCTTACTTCTCTCAATGGGCTGAATCACCCGAAAGGTTTTCTGTATTTATCCAGAAAAATGCATGTGGTGTCAGAAGTCTGATTGGCAGAGCTTCTGGGTGTTCACAAAAATATGAATAAGACCTTTATAACATTACAGTACATTAGTTTTAAATCTCAATACAGTCGACCCCCCCTTATAATACTTAGTAAGATACATAGTAACTACTTCCCTCAATTATCATGGTTTATATTAAGATGACCATGCTGCTGATATTTTTGTCGATTCTCGAAAGTTGACTGCAAGGCCTTTATGCTTTGCTTTACAAATCTGCCAGACTTCCGCGTAATGCCGGTGTTTCCGGTCTCGGACTATCTGCATTAGTCTTGCTTGGTCCCATTCAGCCTTGACGTCTTGCGGGTCCGCTAAAACGTAGGTGGCCAGCGCAGTGCATGGTTGTTCTTTTCTTATATTTGCTTGATGTTCTGCTAACCTGTCTTTGATACATCTTCCTGTTGCCCCTATATACATTAATTTACTACGTCGCCTTGAGTCCGTAACTGGAATTTTATATACACCGGGAGTATTCTTCTGTCCACTACATCCTTATCAGATCGTAATAGTTGGTACGTGGTGAGGGTTCTTTTATATAGGATTTTTTTTTCTGGTTCTTTCCGACGCATCGAAAAATATTAGTCAGCGAAGCATTATACTCCATCCTTAAAACTCTTTCATTATTAGGTAAATTTCTGTTCTTAAGGCGCGTTTTGCTCTTGCTGATAATAGCTTTAACATTAATCCCGTACTTTCTGGCTAAGTTATATATATAATTCAGTTCATCCTTTCTATCTTTTGTATTGTTACAGTGCGAATAAGCTCTTGCGATTAACGCTCTGAACGCTGCTATTTTATATGCTGGAGGATCGTGAGAGATCCACGGAATAAATATAGGGTTATAGGATGGCTTTCTGTAAACTTTAGTCGTGAAATCTCGTACGCTGTTAATTTGTATATACAGATCTAAGAAATGTATGGTCTTATCATTTTCTTGCTCTAACTCTATCTCAAGGCCGAATCTATTGTCATTTATATCCTTTATCAAGCTCTGTACGTTGGGTTTAGTGTTCCAGAAAATAAGTGCATCGTCTACATATCGAACATACATTACCATTTGCGCTTCATACTTCGGCAATACTGCATTTTCTAGCGTTGCTAGTACCATTTCACATAGTGTACCTGCAAGGGAGCTGCCCATAGCTACCCCCTTTTGCTGTGTGTAGGTAACACCTTTGAAGCTAAATTGGGGAGTATTTAGGGCCGTATTTACTTGCTTTCTTTACGAATGTAGGCAAATCGATGTTGTTCCAGCATATAATCCTCGGGGTAATCAATTCTTTAAAGCGATCTTCTTGATTTTTTAAGATCCAGGTCATTTTGTTCCTGTATCTCTTCTCACATCTTTCTGTCACCTGTGCGGCTAATGTTATTACTCGTGCGTTAACTTCTTTTAGATCGCTTTAAAGAATTGATCACCCCGAGGATTATATGCTGGGACAACATCGATTTGCCTACATTCGTAAAGGAAGCAAGTAAATACGGCCCTAAATACTCTCCAATTTAGCTTCAAAGGTGTTACCTACACACAGCAAAAAAGGTAGAAATGGGCAGCCCCGTTGCAAGTAGGTTTAATCAAACAGGACAGACTCATACCAGATATCGAGCAAGCATTAGAGGGCCTCAGCAAAACTAAGAAAGAAATGTTTAGATGGGAAGTCGCATTGAAAATCAAGCATGATGAATGTAAAAGAGACGGAGATCCTATATGGCCATATATTAGAAAAACCCAGAACTGGCTTAAAGGCAATAACATAGTGCTCACTAGGGCGGATAAATCAAAGGATATGGTTGTTATGAAGAGAACCACATACGACCACATTCTATCAGCATACATTAAAGATACCTGCTGTACGATTGCACCCCCCAATGCCGTGAGGAAACTGCAAGCAAGAGTCAAGAGGTTCGCAACCACTCTTTTAGCCAAAGAACTAGGCATCAAGAATGTAATCGTACAATCCCCATCGACCCCAAGGCTTTTTGGATTTGCTAAAACCCATAAAAAGAACAAAGAAATAAGACCAGTCGTCAATAAAGCATACGCTCCTACAATATTACTGGAAAAATGGGTACACAACTTTGTTCGGGAACATGCCCCTAACAATCCATACAGCGTCAAGCAACCGTTAAAGGTTGTAAACAAAATGGCTAATATTAACTCGCAGGAAGTGAAATATATGACGGTGTTAGACTACAAAGCCTTGTATCCATCCGTTAAACTGGAACCGTGCTTTTGTCATTTAAGGGACTTACTACAGAGCAAGATTCCTTTCTTCTCTAGGAAAGAAAAGAAAATACATCTTAGACTTGGCACACCTTACAGTCTTCTCTGCCCTATTTAGCTTCAAAGATGTTACCTACACACAGCTATGGGCAGTAAGCTATGCAAAGGGGGTAGCTATGGGCAGCTCCCTTGCAGGTACACTATGTGAAATGGTACTAGCAACGCTAGAAAATGCAGTATTGCCGAAGTATGAAGCGCAAATGGTAATGTATGTTCGATATGTAGACGATGCACTTATTTTCTGGAACACTAAACCCAACGTACAGAGCTTGATAAAGGATATAAATGACAATAGATTCGGCCTTGAGATAGAGTTAGAGCAAGAAAATGATAAGACCATACATTTCTTAGATCTGTATATACAAACTAACAGCATATGAGGCCTATAACCCTATATTTATTCCGTGGATCTCTCACGATCCTCCAGCATATAAAATAGCAGCGTTCAGAACGTTTATCGCAAGAGCTTATTCGCACTGTAACAATACAAAAGATAGAAAGGATGAACTGAATTATATATATAACTTAGCCAGAAAGTACGGGATTAATGTTAAAGCTATTATCAGCAAGAGCAAAACGCGCCTTAAGAACAGAAATTTACCTAATAATGAAAGAGTTTTAAGGATGGAGTATAATGCTTCGCTGACTAATATTTTTCGATGCGTCGGAAAGAACCAGAACAAAAGAATCCTATATAAAAGAACCCTCACCACGTACCAACTATTACGATCTGATAAGGATGTAGTGGACAGAAGAATACTCCCGGTGTTTATAAAATTCCAGTTACGGACTCAAGGCGACGTAGTAAATTAATGTATATAGGGGCAACAGGAAGATGTATCAAAGACAGGTTAGCAGAACATCAAGCAAATATAAGAAAAGAACAACCATGCACTGTGCTGGCCACCTACGTTTTAGCGGACCCGCAAGACGTCAAGGCTGAATGGGACCAAGCAAGACTAATGCAGATAGTCCGAGACCGGAAACACCGGCATTACGCGGAAGCCTGGCAGATTTGTAAAGCAAAGCATAAAGGCCTTGCAGTCAACTTTCGAGAATCGACAAAAATATCGGCAGCATGGTCCTCTAGCTTAATATAAACCATGATAATTGAGGGAAGTAGTTACTACGTATCTTAAGCTATGTATTTATGAGTGATGTTCGGAGATGGTAACTATTTGAATTTAGATATTTATGTAACCTTTAGGATTTTTATACTTCCGTTGTTAAGTTCACAATGATGTCATAAATTGCAACGGATTATAGGCTAGTTCGAAAACATTCGAAAAACTTGTTAGTTGTACTAAGCGTTCGATTTACATTTTGTTATTTTTATTTGCTTTATTTTTCTTGAGAAAGGTTTTTTAACAAGACCGACAACGTTAGAAGTAATAAACTTCGGCTGCAAGATAAGGTGTATTAGTAAGTTTTTTGGTCGATAATTCCGTTTTATATAAATTCCATGTTGTACGAGTCACTTAGATTTTTACAAATACGTGTGCTGGGCTGTGAACGGCTCATGTATTTGTAAAATCTAAGTTACTCGTACAACTTGGAATTCATATAAAACGGAAAAATCAACAGTGTTATAGGGGGTCGACTGTAGTTTGAAATTATGGTTTAACCGAACGACGAAAATAAGAAATATGGTGATAAAACACTTGATTGCATTTATGAAGAAATGTCTAAGAATTTTGAAAGTGGTTTTTTTTGTTAAAGAAATACATAGCGAATCGCTGTTACAAGCACAATAATCTCTTTTTTAAATCAATAAATTGCAATCAAT